GAGGGTGGTGATGACTCATGGGGATGTAGAGTGGCTGGAGAGGATGGTGGAAGTGCTGGTGGAAGAGAAGGAAGAGGCAGGAGAGGTTGGCCGGGCCCAGAGGGGCTTCCAGTGGCTGGCCTGGGAGCTCAGACTTGAATCCCCTCATCTCCGGGCTCACATGTGTTCTGGTGCTTTGGGTTGCTGGACTAGGCGGGGTTTCTTAGGACTGAACTGGACCAGTTGCAAGGCCAGGAGTTTGCAAGCTGTTAAGACCCTGGGTGGTGCAATCCACTACACTTTGGACTAGTAAGCTGAAAGCTAGCTCTCGAACTCACCCAGCAGAGTCACAGGAGAAAGGCCTGGCGGTCTGGGTAGGCGAGAAAACCCTGTGGGTTCCATTTGGCATCACATGGGCGTCCGGGAGCCGGCACAGGCTCAACGGCGATGCTTTTGGTTTTGTGAGTTGTTTTGTGTTCAGCTGTGTAAAAGTGGTTTGGGCAGGGGTGCCAAGGTTGCTGGACCCTGGGAGTGACAGACACCAGCCTTTCCTCCACAGTCCAGCCAGACCCCCAGCTGTGCTCAGCTCCCACCTTCTATCTTGCTGGAACCAGTAGACATGGACAAAGGTCCTGGCCACTCAGAGTCTAGTACACAAAAGCACAACTGCCCGGTTGACAGGCACCTGCTGGGTAATCCCAGTCACTAAGATGTGGGACTTGTTTGTTGGGAACCTGAAGGGGCGAGGCCCTCAAGCCTGACCCTCTGGGTCAATGTGTTTATTATTCTCCCAGGACACGTGCTGCATTCCAGCTCTCTGGTGTCACCCTGGCACGCAGGTAGGTGTCTGTCGGTGCGTGCTGGTGGGGGAGCATGCGAGATGACCGATCAAAGCTCTCCAAACTTCACCTCAGACTTTGGGGAGGGGGTGGTGCTGAGTAAGCGCATCCAGATGGTTCCCCTAGCCGGGCTGGTTCTCCCGCAACACCAGATGTCATTGGTCTGCCCACTCCATCCCCTAAGGAGTTGGACTTTTCCTCTGTGCCTGGCCAGGCCTGTTCGGTCTAAACGCAGAGCTGGCAGGAGGCAGCTGGAAGCTGTTGGAGTCCTGCTTTATCCCACCCTCAGGGAGGTGGTGGGACTGCTCCCTCCATGTGACCACAGCCGTTGGGGCGGTAGCGCTGTGCTGCTACCGAAACTGACTAGCTTAGGCAGGAAAGGGAACGTGTTGAAAGCTGGTTAGATGCTCACGGAAGGGATGGGAAGGCTGGAGAGACAGGAGGCAGGGCCATCTTACCGAGGGACCTTCGCCAGCACGCCAGACTTTATTATCCTCATTCCTTTGCCACTCTACTCTAGATCGAATACTCTGACCATGAAAGGTCAGTTGTGCTGGCCAGGCGCCTATGCCCAGGCCCTGGTTCTAGCTCCCTGCAGACCAGGAAACCCGGGCGCTGTCAGAAGAGCAATGGACTCCAAGCATCAAAACAAAAATGCAAGAAAAATACAACAGAAAGAGGGATGTGGATGGGGAAGGCTCCTTGTCCTCCACAGGCTTCTTCGTTTCTGACAGCCTCTGGGTCTGTGTGCAAAGGAGACGGAGGCTGCTATCACTTAGCAGCCTGTTCAAGATCTGCAAAAGACAGAACAGGAATTTCTATGTTAGCGAGGACCCAGAGCCATCTGTTCTGAGCTAGGGAGAGGCAGGGAGAAAGCCTTCTTGTGGGGCTGGAGACTGGGGGCTTCTGGGAAGTCCCTATTTTGGCAACAGTAGGAGTAGAGAGCAGGTACCTTCTTTCCATCGTGGGTGGTGGATGGCAGGTGGTGGCTCATGGAAGGTGGAGTCAATTATGGAGAAAATGCCTTTTCCCGAGGGACCGGGAGAGGACTCTGCCTAACTCTGAGTCATTCCGAGCAATAGATGCAAATCAACACGCCTTTCCTGAACATCTGCTAAATGTCATTTATTCATTCAATCAACAAACATTCTTTGAGTACCTCTTCTGGGCTGGCACATGGAGATGAATCAAAATTGGGTATCGGCCTGTAAGTCTTCAGGCCTGTCGTGGAGGGTAGGTGGTGCCTTGATGCACAAACACAATCAGCATAATGAGTTCATGTGCTGGAAGGATATACAACTTACGCAAGTAGCCTGAGAGGAGACGGTCGATTGTCCAGGTGGGTCAGCAGCGAAGACATCCTGGAAGACATTAAGTCTGTCTGTGTAGTTGCTGCAGGACAAGTGGAGGAGAGAGTTGGGCAGACAGCACAGAGAGAGCCTGGCTATCAAAGAAACAATGTGGAGGTGATGTCTGATCCCCTCTAGCTTCCCCAGGGGACAAGAAAGGCACCATCATCAGCCATCAGCCACTCCAGGCCCCTTCCTATGAGGCTGAGGCCCGGCATGCCCCACCTTCCCGATTCTGACACCTCTCACAGTATCCTGTGCTTTTCAGTGGGGTTTGATCATTCATTGCCATGGTCACACGGAACTCTCAGACCATCCTCCCAGTTACGGGGTCTATCAAGGAAGCTAACAGGTTACAAATGCTCAGGGACACAATTATTTGGAGAGGACAGTCTCTTCTCAGCCATGCCTGCAGATGGGCCTCTCTTTGGTCTTTGGCCTCTCAGCCACACGGCCTAGTGGTCTCTGCCCAGCGTGCGATGTTACAAAGCTCTTTTAGGACTGCCAATAAATGCCTAACTAACCATAAGCCCCAGTCCAAAGATACTCAGCTCTAGCGCTGTGGATCGGCAAACCAAGCCCTCCCAATTAAGTGCCTGGAAGCCTCCTACTCCACAAGCCAGCCTCCTGCCTGAAGGCTTTCAGCTTGATTTGCCCCACGGACTGGGAAGTTCACCACTTTGTCTCATGTGCTCTGAATGCTGGTTCTGCTGCTGCTCCCCCATCACTCTCCTGGTGTCACAGCCCTCTCCTGGGTCCA